TTTGGAAATTATTGAGACATTTACTTTTACTCCATAAAGGCCAGAGATACATTCATGAAACTTCGTCAACATTTTATAAATAATTAATAAAAGAAATGTGCAAAATTTCTAATTTATAGGACAATTAGACAAGTTCCGGTGAAATTATAAACATGCATATGTCTATCGACCTGGAGCAGCATCGCTACGTCATTTAAACGTCACGTCAGCCAGAGATGTTTTTGCAAGTGAAACGATCGGGAAGCGAAAATCAAAAATCAGACTGTCTCTTTTGTTAAAAAATTCTTTAAAAAAAAAATTAAAAATGTGTGCTGTTGTTACCTCAGTGTAAAAAATACACGAAGTGTCATATACAGGTTGAATTAGCATCACGCAGTACCGATTTTTGCACAGCGGGTTAACGTTATTTACTCCGTAATAATTGATGGTCGTCTGGAGCTCTTGTTTTTACTCTTGTTGAATATTTTGTAAGAATAAAATATACCAATGAAAAAATAAAACTTAAAATAATTTATGATCTCCGTATTTGTGATCGAAATTCTAACAAACTTGCACAAAATGAAGTGAAAATTAAATTGAAAAATTATATACATAAATTGAATTATTCTCGCTCTTACTATGAGTCCACCGGGAGTTTGAACGTTGGTGTAACATATTTTCAATATCTGATTTCGTGACTGCGCCGGGTACCCCTACCATTGGCACATAAATATACCACTGAGAAGAAGAAAAAAATATTTCTAAAATATCTTTTGCTTTTATTAATTTTTATTATTTGTCAAACGTATGTGCAAATTTTCACCGAAAGACGTTCATTAGAAAAAAGAATATACACATTGTCTCAATAATTTCCGAACAGCCCTTGTATATGTATTGTCAATGAGGAACTCAAACTTGTTTTAATATCAATATCAGTACTTTTTTCAATCAGAATGATTTTCACAATTGTTTTGTTGATGACCAAAAAAGGACAGAAATATTTTAGATAGCCATTCTTATTGAGGAAGTAGTTGTCTATAATGTCAAAAAACTAAAAAAAAATTATGATCTTAAATTTTCAAAAATGTCCTTGTAATTTTTGAGAATCCACATTTATCATCACTTTTGAATGTTGTAGTACAGTTGGTCTGAAGTTTTTGGTCATAAATTTTGCAATTTTCAAAATAACCAAATATTTTACATAGAAGAAAATAAAAACACTTGTCTGGCAAACATTTTCTTCAATCGAGATATTTGCGCAGTTACATGTACTTGCTATATCATTTTAACTTATATAATGACTAGTCAATGAACATCACACATACAACTTACCACCATGTTCATGTTGTACTTGTGTATCCAGTCGATAGGGTAGAGCCAGCTGTGATTGTCTTGATAGGGGCGAGAATCCACCACCTTAACTTCGTCATTATTGATGTACCAATGGGTGTCGTACCAGTAACTGCCCCCAGAAGGTTCTGCATACAGACACTTAAATACCGCAGCTATAGGTTTGTTCGATAAAGTAGGAGTAATGGGTTCTAACGATACGTTTACCATAGGGTTCGTGTTCACAGGAATATACGCTTAAATACGAAATTTGTCAGAGAATCATTGATCAAGCCTGATCATAGTAACTACATATGTCCATATTTTGATTTTTTTAATTTCAATAATTAGGTTAATATCCCTTACTAAAATACAACTTAATTTCTTCAATTTAATAAAGCATATGTACCTTGACAAGGTGTGAAGCCAGAAAAAGACGTTTGTCCTTTAGGACAAAGGTATTCCTCTCCTGAAAATATATTTCAATTCATTATATGCCTTGCTAAAGTTTTAAAAAATCAGCCTTATAACATGAAGAGATAAAGCAAAGGTAATGATTCGTTTGAACCTAATTTGAAAAGTGATTATATATCATTGACAACATTGATAAAAGATATGGTTACTGGGAAAAAAACCCAACAGTGGGCTAGGTAATATTTTGTTTTAAGACCGAACATAAGTTGTATTTATTTAGATTTCTCTTATTCGTTAGTGGTAATCTACCTATGCAGTATGCTGAGGCGATTAGGGGAGAAGGTACCAAGTAGTAAACTCTGTAATCTCTACAGTTCTTCACCCTTATTGTTAAAGATGTCCCACATGTACCCAGAAACCCCACAATACAAGCTGTTCTCGTTACCTCCCCGTCAACATCCGGTGGTAAACTACCTAATATAGTATATAATATAGTAAGAAATGCTGTAAATCGAATAAACAGATTAGTTTATAATTATTCAGGTTTTACTCTTTACACAGAGTAATCTCAAACGAAAGGAAAATATAGCCAAATACACGTACTCTTTGTTTTAATTTGTTATTTAAATGAATGAATTGTACAATCGGTTTTTTCTTTACCAGATTACAAAAAAAAAAAAAAAAAAAAAAAAAAAAAAAAAAAAAAAAAAAAATGAAAGCCATGCATTTAGTGGCTTATGAAAGTTGTCTGTTAAACAAAATAACATTTTCTTAGATGTTTAATTTGTATTTACCCTGCATCCATATAGGAAACATAGTTCCACATTGAGTTATACTGGGTGCAGATGTCACCATATCATTTCCTGCTCCACTTTCAAATCTATACCATCCGGCATTAAGGAAGTTGTCGCTGATCGAAGTATCTGTTGGCTGTAACGTATATCCACTAGATCTTCGGATGTCGTCACGTATCAGTGTATAGTGTAAACAAGGATCTAAAGGAATGGCATATATGTAGAGTAAGAAGTCCATTGCCTTTAAACCGTCCTTATGTTCTGTGTGAATACTGAGAATTAGTATTGGATAAGCTAACATTCAGAGTAAATAAAATATCTTCAAATCATATTAACAAATAAAAATACACTTTCATCATGGGCAATCCATCAGGCATGATTTTATCACGGTTTGAACCTAGAAAACATTATCAGAATTCTGAGACTAAGTTTAACAATTTATATCTTAGGGGTATTAAACTGATAATGGTGAGTATTAACACGAGAGTTGACTGTAGAAATGCATGAGCTTGTGCTATTATTTTAAATACAGGTTACAACTCTTGTATTGAAGTCGTTTATATTGAATCTTCTCTTGTATTGAATTCAAAATAAATCCCCGATATGATTCATAATATTATGTTGTTTCAAACTTTCGGTTTATTTTAATCATAGCTTGAATTGAAGCAATTTTATGGCTCGTTGAACTGAAAATGTGTTGTTTTAATAAGGTTGTATTGAAGTCCTGTTTCGACCACTAGTCATGGTCAGTTTGTCCAGCAATACAAGTAAGAAGCACAGGTTTACAGTATTTATATTACTCCACGACTCCATAGCAAACGCTCTAACCACTGTGTCACCATTCAAGTCATGTAGTAGAAGCCTACGTCTTTTTTTGCTTTCATTTTCGTTAAGAACAAGGATTTATTACTTTTTAAATGCCAAAGCCTAAGGACAAACCTTTTTATTAAAATGTTTTGAAACTGTATTGAATAACAAAATATGTTCCATAAAATAGTTGTTACAGTATTTACATTTTCAAATTTGTGTAACAAATTTTCTACGTAAACATCAATTTACTCATTTACAACGTACCACGTCAAATTGATATTTTCATACTAAAGCATTTAACACAAAATCATATGAATGTACTTTAAGACGCTGGATGGGTCGGGTCTAGTATAATATGCTTTTCTGTATAAAGAAAGTTAAATTCCTGCAAATATATAACTGTACATATATATAACTTTACAGGGTCGAAATCCAATGGTCGTTGCCTTTCTGAGGAAATAGAAGAGTAGTATCATAAATCTTTTGGAATATAAAATGTATTTTATTATAGTAACTGGTGCAAAATACCAAATAATTTTCAGATTTGGGCCAACCAATTTAAAATTATTAAAGTCCGAATTTCCTCTGTTATTTTCAAAATTCCACCAGTTTTTCATCAAGAATTTTAAAAAATCCCACTGATAGGAACAATAAATAAATCATACTTTTATAAGACTTAAATTCTCTTTATTTTATTGGTATAAAATGTATATGGGGTCAATGGTCAAATTTTTCAGAAATTTCCACTTGAAAATTTTTCATCAGTTTTTTTCACATTGCCAATCCACTATTTTTAATTGAAATAAAATATGAAAAATATTGATAATTTTTTAACCAAATAAGATTTTCAAATGCATCACTGTATTAGAAATATACAGCTTTGTAAATATATAACAAAAAATCTTGGTTTTTCAATAAATTGAAAAGTTTTAATCAGAATTTCCTCTGTCATAGCTTGATTAATAAGTGCAATATTTTGTACAACAACATTTTGATATACATTTTTTGATGACTTTAAAATGTAAGAAAATGTAATAAAATATTTATACATGTATTTCAGAGATATAGTACTACACCTGTTGCAATGTTATATTTCAAAAAAGTTATGCACATAAATATGAATTAAATTCAGTATCGATATGTTTTCTTTTTGTGACTTTTTTTAATTACATAAGAAAATGCCAGGAATAAAAAAATTCAACATGTTAATTACCTAATCACATCTTTCAAGATTGATATGGATTTAAAAAGTGTAAAATATCTTTAGAAATAGACTATAACTTATAAATTGAAGGCAAATTAACTTATATAATGGGCTTTGCACAATTATTTTATCAGTCCATTACCTCTTTGGGAGGTTATATCATACTACATAAGACTACATTAGGCAAGTCTCAATCACTAATTACATGTAGGTATAAAATATAATTGTGAGACGAATATTGGTAATCTATTATTTAACAGCACACATCAAAAACCTATACAGATCGACGATTTCAAAATGAAATCTTCATACATAATGGATTTGTCAAAAAAATTAATTTTATTTATAATTTCCCTTAGATTGATTCTCTATTTCAGGAATTATCATGGATATTCTAGCTGTCAATTTCTTACATAAACTGGTAAATAATAAACTTGCTAAATTTGTTTAAAAAAAACTGATGGAAATAAATTATTAATCAAATTGAATTGCTTTTCTTTAAGTTAAGACAATGCACATTATAATATATTTAACTTTCATTTAACGACAGGAAAAAAGAGCTCACAGCCTCAATAATTTTGTTGGACTTTGTCACCCTCACAGAACTGTTTCTACACACTTCAGTAAACAATGCATGGATACCATTCTGATCTCTAGAGTAAGCTAGTTTCAAACTATCAAAATCTAATCCACTTTCAGCTATTCTTTTAGCCATACACACACTCAACACCTTTTTCTGAACAAGAATATGTAAGGAAGGAAAATTTTTGTCAACTTCCTTTTGGTAAGATAGTACATTCATAGCATAATCAAATGAAAATGTTGCACACTTATGCTTATCATCTGATAAATTCACTAATTCTAACAACTTTTGCAACACTAAAATATCTTCAAGGGCATTATGTGCTTCATATGAACATGCAAGAAGACTTTCTGCAAGACTTTGCTGGCTATAAGAGCTCAGGTTTGGATGGGATAATCGAAATAAAAGCTTTGTATCCATAAATCCCTTCACTTTTCTTGAAAATCTTGGTAACATAGAACATGATTCAAGACCTCTAAAAAGCACTGGACAATCAAACACTTTAATGTTGTGACCAACTAAAATGATATTATTATACTTTTCGAGAAATTTCAAGAAATAATCCAATGCAGCCATCAGAGAAATGCCAGTCACTTCTGCGTTGTTATGGTAGAGTTTTCCATTCCTAACAGAGAGTCCTGCTATCTCAGAAGCTGTTGGCGTTATGGACTTCTTAGGAATAACGTATGTAGAAAATCTATCCTCATTCTGTACAGCTGCCAACTGAACAATATGAGAAGTGCGAGCTAAAAGAAAAATATCACTATTTAGAGTACTGGTTTATGTCTAATGAACAAATAAAAAACATTCTCACAAGGCCAACTGACATAAAAAATTGCTGATGGAGTATATGGATTTATACAGAAATAAATTCCACCATATGGCATGCCTATAAAGATTAAATAAAGACTTAAAAACATCATGAGTAGTTGCTGAGAAAACAGAGACAAAAATTTATTGAAAGGTGCACACACAGAAACTGACAGAAACTTTACAGGGGTAAAACTGTATACATCATTTTCTTCCAAGCAGTGATATAATTATGGTTCTTTTGAATAAACTGAATTTGAGAAAATTGCTATATAAACTTCTTGCACACAAAAAATTGAAACATTTAAATTGTATTAAATGCATTACCTAATCCTGTTGTTTCTAAATCAAATAAGATAAGTGTGTGATTTTCAACATCAACTGTTTCCATCTGTGGTCTTGGGCATGGGACTGGAATTTCTGTAATGATGTTAGCTTGTTGAGGAGCTAACCCTATTCCAGATTCATATGTGGATCCTTCATGAATTTCTTTACTAGTTGTACACAAGGATCTTTAAGAATGAGGAAAAAAATGCTTAGTCTATAAATATAAATTCATGTATTTCAAAAATCAAACTGATAACTAATATATGTTTGCATCATTCAAGTGAGCTTATTTTACATTACCTCCTAGCCTTCAGCTCACGTCTTCTTCTCTTCGCCTCCTTAAATTTGGCGATTGCCTTTCTCTTCCTGGACTAGGATTCCCTGAGATAGCACAACTTCCTAGTAAACCTTCCAGGAGATAACCCGATCTTTTTGTTTACCTATTAGGACAAAAATAACATTAAACATTAGGAGGGAGGTAGTGCTACAGCTTAGTGCAAAAGCTATATGGTTTGCTTGTAATGTTAATTTAATTACAAATATTGCTCTTACACATATTTATTATATAGTCTAGATTTATAGTCCCTATATAATCTATACAAACGCAAACAGTTCATAACACTACATATTCACTGGTTTTGAAGCTGTATTCGCCGGAGGGTCGGTGCGCGTTCAGCGGCATTGCGACATCACAATCAACACCTCAAACAATGTTCTAAACAATTGGTTGCAACGGCCAGAGCCAGCTATGTATCTGAGCAGGAAAAACATTAGCCAAGCCTATTGCAGGGTTATTTTCTAAACATTTCGATGTCTTACAAACAGCAAAAAGCTATAACTTGTGATCTGGACATTTTTATTTTAATTTTTCCACGACAAAAGTTCGTAAATGAAAGTTGTATCATCATGCATGCAGCCTTCAATGTCTTATTAATTCAAATCCGGACTATATAATAAAACAATTATGGACTCTTTCGGTGGTGAATATGGTTTGTTATTCACCAGAATAATATCAATATTGACCGAGGCAAAGCCGAGGTCAATATTGATATTTTTCTGGTGAATAACAAACCATATTCACCACCGAAAGAGTCCATAATTGTATAATATCTTATGATCAATATTTTTCTATTTTTTAAGTATCTTTGTCAAAGTTTTACAGCTTGAGATTATTTTCCATTTAATATTTATATAACATTTTGGTACATAAATTTTCATAAAATAATATTTTTTCATAAATTTATATATACTCACAGCAACAAGATAAGATGCTCCAGAGTTTTTTTCTGCTACAGATGCTGCTACTCTGTAGTTTAAGCTAGCTGAGCCGCTAAAGTAGTGGTTTTTCGGAGCTTTCAGTGACACAGTCCTATTGAAGGACTCATTTGGTTGGGTGCTTCCCAGACTGGAGATCTTACAGCTGTTCTGCTTCCATTGGTTGCATATTGAATGTAGTGAATCTTGAAGGTCCGAGTCTTTTAAGGGCTTTCCATAAGGCAAGGAAGAGTACCTTCAATTTATTTTGAACATATACTGAATCAATTAAATCAGGGTTAGGAAATGGACGAGATAAAGCTTGCACATAATAAATGTATATGTAGATACATTATTTCGAAATTGATACTGAATTACATACTAGTTATGTCCATACATAGTCATATGTATAATAGTACCTTTGCTTCGGATTGTTAACATGCTGACACCAGGAATTGCTGCATGACTCATGGTTTCCAAAAGGGTGATTACAGAGGGCATCAAGTGCCTTTTCTATTCCTCTTGGGTTTCCCTGATTTTGTGCTAGTAGATAATTGAAGCACTTTTGAAGGTAGTGGATTACCTTTGTAGTTAAGGACTTGTGTTTTTTCTGCAAAGCATATAGACTTGAGGAAAAAATTTTTCTAATGTGGTTCTTGTCGCATTTTTTTTTAATGTTTGGGTTTACACTTTGTTTCAAGCGAGAAATGGTGGTGGTGTCATCATCAGCTATAACAGTGGACACCTTTATTCCTTTGTCCTGTTTTTTCTCTACCATGCTGATAACCATACTTGGCTCCATAGATTTAGAACTTCCTAAAAAAAAAAAAATCAAAAAACAAATTTAAAAACTAAGTTAATGTAATTTTTAGTAAGATTAATATTACATTTGAAAATTAAATTCAAAGATATGTACAGGTGCATTTCTCAGTTTCAAAAATTGCTATTTTAGCAGGTTAGTTCATTCAGTTTATTTTAAAAAAAAATAAACAATCACATACATATAAAACCAAAAGGTAACAATTAAATCCTATTCTTAATCTCAAATATAAACACTCATTTCAATTGAAGTATCTAATACCTTGCCAATTTTGTCTACAGTCATGTTCCTTTGCTTCTTTCCCATTCCTCTTAGCACTCCCGTATGAAATTTAGAGGCGTATTACACCTGGACTTTTTGCAAATCCTGGCGTACAAGAGACGTATTCTTAAAAATACGGTTCATTTTCAGGCGTACACGTATTTTTGCCAGAAATACGTCTCCTTTTCTCCTGGCGTAAATTCTTAATCCAGGCGTATTTTTTTCTTAGTCTCTTTCGCATAGGGAAATAAAAACTTAGAAAATTTCAAAAGGCGTATTTTTGGAAATCCTGGTGGATTTTCTGATTTAGTCCTTATTATTAAGAGAGCTAGATAAAAATTTTACTTAGACAACTTCAATCTCCTTTATGTAACTATTGAGTTGCTTTTGTGATACATGTATTAAAATTAACCCCCCAAAAAGTATTTACTCCACATGTAAACATTGATTACATTACAATATTGCCTTTGTTGTATTCATTGTATTTATTAAAGCAATTAATTTTAGTAAATTATACTATTCAATCTTAGATTACTGTGCCATTGATTCCCAAATAAAAAAAAATGTTTAATATTATTTCTCTTAACTAAGATGATTTTATTTCTAACAAACTTAGTTTATTCTTTCATTAATGTTTTAGTGGCTTAATATAAAATAGCATTTAATTAAATGAATATTTAAGTCCTTAGTTTTAAATTAACAAAGCACTATAGCTGATGCTAAAAATAATTTTTCAATCAGTAATTGCATGATCAATGTCTCTATAATAAAACAAAATATAGATGGTATATTCAGATAATACATGTATTACATTACCATCTACTTTCTCTTCCCTAGTCTAACCAGTTGGGATTAGGCTAATTACTTACAGATGTGTTGAGCATGTTTAGGAACGACTTATCTGTAATGTTGTAAACCTTTCTAAGAACGGCTTATCAGTTTATATCCGGTTTCTGTAGAGCAGTTCTATTATCCACCCTAATCTTTAAAATAAAAGTATAATTCATATAGAAAAAACATCTTGTGTAAACATAAATGAATTTTTGTTATTGTATTCTTTAACAATACAGAATTCTTTTTTCATCAAATTTACATAATGTACTGATCTCTCAGAAGTGATAAAACCGTTTAGGTAACAAGGGGGTTATAAACAACAGCATTATTTACATCCAAGTATTTGCGCCAATTTTAAACCACCAGGAAGGTCATGCCAGGAACAAAGAGATTGGAGAAAGTGGCAACGAAGCACAGATGGTGAAGAGGTGATTATTTTGAAATACATTGCATAACATTAGATTTTTTTACCTAAAAAAATAAGACAGATGCATTTGCTTGATTTGCAGAGCCAGATGTTCATGATTGAAATGGGTCAGTATGACATTGAGTATGTTCTTATGTTTTTCTTTTTCCAGATCATAATCCATAGGATAAATCAGTTGGGCGATCAATTGAATGATGAAATAGTCCATAAATACTTGAATTTAAGTGAAGAAAAGATCTTGCGAGAGTCAAATGACCAGAATTGCAGCATTTTCCATAGATGCATGCCAATGAACTGCAGCTGTTGAGTGTAGCATCAGGAATGAAGTGTATTTTCAATGCCAGGAGTTATAATTTTTAACATGAAAAACATCTTTTTGTGAATATTTCTATGAAAATGTGATTGGAGAATATAATAAGAAATGTGAATGACAAAACTGCTTGTGAATTGCATCTTTTGTGCCAAATAAGGAGTACAGAGAATGGCAGGATTAATCGGCATGATTCTCAATAAAGTGATTTCACTGTGATTATTGGAATGTTGCAACTGCTGACTAAACTAATATGTCAATCTTGTAGGTTAAAATACTGTGAAACAGGAAAAGTTAATGTAAATCTAACATGTGATGTGACTGTGATTTGAAACAGTAAATGTTTGATTCTGATTTTTAATCATTTCTCATTCACATTTAAGCATACTGAAAAGTATTAATAAAATAAAAATTGTGTATGATTGTAAGCTTAATTTGTCTGATCTTTTTTGTATGTATTTATATGCACTTAGACTCCTAGTAATCTATGTACTAAAGTACTTTGTACTTTTATATTTATGTTGGTTGTAGTCCCCATAGCTGTGATAATATTTAATTTGAAATGAATATTTAAGGCAGGCGTATTTTTTATACGGGCGTATTCATTTTACGGGTGTATTTATTTTACGGGCGTATTTTTTTTTTACGGGTATGCTTGATATCTAGGTGTAATTCTATTTTTAAAATTTCCAGGCGTATTTTGAATTTCCAGGCGTACTCATTTACATATTTCGGCTAAAAATACGGTAGGATTACGCCTCTTGTACGCCTGTATTTCACTTTATACGCCTGCTTTTATGTATTCATTTTAATGGAGAATCCACCAGGATTTTAAGAATATAATACGCCTGGATATTTTTTGAAAATACGTGACTAAAATTTCGTACGGGCTCTCACATATCCTGCATATCTTGCTACGAACTTCATACCCTAATATATACATTTGTGGTATCTCTCTATTATATAAACATGCAGAGAGCAAATATCTTCATACCTGTATGAAGTTTTTCGAAGGTCATAGGTCATTACGTGACCTAATCACACAGCGCAGTAATATCTACATAAAAAGACTTACTCCACTAAGCAATATAGCATGTTTTTCATGCATAAAAATGTACAAAATACGCAAGTAAAATAATAATCATTTTATTTACAATGTAAACGAGTATTTAATACAGTTCTTGATCGATTTTACAAAGATAATAGAAAACTACGTGTTATAAGTTTCATGTCTGAGCTGCATAGTCTCAACGTTTACCCTTATTTTTCTCGCAGACCTCTGAATGCTATAATTTTTTTTCCATTAAACTTTACTCACAATAAATTTGAAAATCTGTTGAAAAATATCAATGTAATGCAATCATGCCACAAACAGCTGACAAACACTGCACTTTGGAAGTTCGGTAGGCACACCTCCATCATCGAGATCGTTGTGACGTTGTCTTAACAATGTAAGCTGTCGCCAGTGTCTCCGTGTCAACATCATAAATTAATAAATATGCCTTATCGAAATCGTAGATTTTATGTTTTTGATCAAATTTTGCACTTGATTTCAAGTTATCTGGTCCGGACAAGTGTCTCCATCCATCCCTTTCCGACCGAAATTCCTCCAACTTTTTAGTATCCAACATCGGACGTGTTTCTTGTGTTTTTTAACAGTTTAACATCGAATATGGGTTCTCATGAATACAAAAATTCCCAGACACCAATATGCTCACTATAATAATTGATCACATGTAGCCTTTCACAGAATATTCCCTTCAAAACAATCCTTTGCCAGATGAATTTGAAGCGTAACCGCTTTTCAAGCCGATTTACACCTAGCGTAATTTGTCAAAATCTACGACGTACAGTTAGTGCAATATTTATATTCGATTACATTCGATTGTCCATCTCAAATGTATATATAAGTAATAAATAACAAGTTTAAAAACTTCAATGGTAATTGAAGTGGGTCGGTACGTGATCAAATCTTCTGAGAAGGCCTTCGGCCTTCACAGGATTTGATCACGTGACCGACCCACTTCAATTCCCATTGAAGTTTTTAAACTTGTTATTTATTTCTTAATTACTTTCCCGGTGTGTTCCCCAATCATTGAGCAATGTCCTTCAATTAAAATGAAAAGGAAATTAAGGTAAAATTATTACTTGGACCTCTCATATCATGTAGATTGCAGACATTACAGACTAACAGCTAGTTACCCGAAAAGCTATCAAATGAGTGACCACTCCCCCTCTTCTGCCATCCAGCATCTATCGTTAACCATTAAATCTTCAGCTCCTTCAGTTCTGAAAAAAAGATGCTTTTTTTGTTTTTGTTTTATTTTTTAAATTTTTCTTTATTGTTATTATTATTACTTCTACTATTATTATTAATTATTTTGAAATACTGATTACAACAAGAGGTCCATGGGCCACATCACTCACCTGAGCACTGTAGCTAGGAAAAAAGCAAAAATCAGTTCAGTATTGAAAAGCTTAAATGCATAAGTGATCTCGACCTACCCCTAAAAAGGGGAGAGGGTAGGAATTAACAAACTTAAATTTATATTAAGTAAGGATGCTTACATATTTCTTTGACTAACTGTGGCTTTTTTCCTATAAGTTTAAACTTTCATTGTGGCCCCACCCTTCCCATGGTAGTCATGATTTAAGCAAACTTGAATCTACATTACCTGAGAATACTTCCACATAAATATGACCAATCATGGCTTTGCTGTTCTTGAGAAGATTTCTAAAGATTTTTCCTATATGTTCCTATGTAAAACTTTAATCGTCCATTGTGGCCCAACCCTGTCCCCAAGGGTCATGATTTGAACAAAGTTGAATCTACACTACCTGAGGATGATTCCACATGATTTTCATCTTTCCACGCCCAGTGGTTCTTGAGAAGAAGATTTTTTCAAAGATGCCATTAATTTTTCACTTATTCATAATTATCTCCCCTTGGAAGAGGGCGTGGCCCTTTATTTGAATAAACTTGAATCCCCTTCACCCAAGGATACTTTGTGGCAAGTTTGGTTGAAATTGGCCCAGTAGTTCTTGAGAAGAAGTCCAAAATGTGAAAAGTTTACAGACGGATGGCCAGGTGGACAGACAGATGGATGCCAGACGAAATGTGATCAGAAAAGCTTACTTGAGCCTTTGGCTCAGGTGAGCTAAAAAACCCCAAAATTAGTTTTGTGAGGAAATATTGTGGCATATTAGATCTACCATCACTTTTTATGGGTGTAAACATGTATATACTTACTCAACTGTTGCTAGGATTTCATCTTGTAAGACCTGTTGGATGGTGTCCTCAGCAACTTTTTCAATGGCCAGCCCTGTCTCTGTTTGTCTATTCTGGATGGTCTTCGTACTTATAGCAGGGATATTTATAGATGTTAAAAGGTCATTTACTTGAGCTGGGCCAATGCCAGTATGAATCATTCCTATTAAATTGTAAAAAAAAATGTTACATGATGATGAAAATCAACTAA